CGGCAGCCCGAAAGGACGTGAACGTCAAAGTCATTGAAACATCTACAGAGGAATTGATGTTGGCCTCTCTGGGCTCTCTTGGGAAGGCCTCTTCGAGCCCTCTTGGGCCGTCTTTGGACCTTGTTGGGCAGTCCGAATGCCTCGGGTCGTCTGGAGGCGTCTCGGGCCACCTGGAGCCGCCCCGGAGCCTGCAGGGGCCCACCGGGGGCGATGTTAGCCACCTCAGCCGCGTCTGGGTGCCCACGCTGCTGGCACGCGCCGATGCTGACCGGATGGAGAGATGACGTCGGGCTCGAGTTTCACCTCCCACATTTCGCGCAGCAGCGCCAGCGCTGGCTGCCACTGCCCGCTCTTCTCGCACGCACTGATCCCAGCATTGTAGCTGACTAGGGCGAACATGTGGAAAATCCACGGCTGACAGGTCAAGGTGTTGGTCCCGAAGTCGCATGTGCCGCCGACGCCTGCAAGTTTGCTTTGGGGTTTGCTGCAGGCTCCAGGCTCTGGGGCTGGTGGCTGTCTTCGATTGTCTTTTGAAGGGTCTGGGCTTTCTCGGAGTGGTCCCTGCAGGGCTCTTGTGGCATCGAAGGCTTCCTGCAGGCCAGTCTCGCTGTATCCTCTTGCAGGAGGAGATGGAGGAGGAGAGCGGTACTGGAGATGGGGGGAGTGCAGGCTCCCAGAGGAGGAAACCGAGGCAGAGAAGAGATAGGAGAAGGACCCCGTGTCTCCCCTAATCGGAAGGGGGGTCAGAGAGGAAAGTGCAGGCTCGCAGGCGAGGAAGCCAGGGTAGAGAAGAGATAAGCAGGTCCCCCGTGTCACCCCCAATCGCTGAGAGCGGTGCTCAAACGTGCTGGTGTGTGCGGCAGAGGACGAGTGAGTGAGGCGCATGAGAGCGAACAGGAGGCCGAGGAGGAAGACAGTAGCTCTGGAGCGAGGGCTGTGTTCTGATTATGTTGGAGGCCTCCGGAGACAGCCAAGGGTGTGGTTGATGCTGCAGGAGCTCCGAGTTGTCTACATGTCCCCTTTGCCACCCCGAATCGGCTGCTAGGGGACCTGGAGCTTCGAGGAAGGGGAGCCAAGGAGAAGGATCAGGAGGTGGAAGGAGGATAAATGAGAGAAGAGAACCGAACGGGGAGAGGAGGCTCGTTGGGCCTTGTTATGGGTAGAAGGCGCTGTTGGAGGCTGCTGGGGAGGCACAAGGGCGGGAAGCTCTCTCGGGAGCTCCGTCGGAATCACCGCAGTATCTTGGGAGGGTTTGGGGCGCCTCGGAGTGGTCCAGGGCTTCGTTGGGGGTCCGCGGCTTTCTTTGTGGCTTCTCGGGTTCCGAGGACGGCCGAAGGGTGCCGTGGCTGATGGCGCTCTGCTTAGAAGCTCCTTGGCAAGTGTCAGAGTCTATTGGGAGACTCTGAGGCATCGGAGTGGTCCTGGGAAGGAGTGGTCCTGGGAAGATTCTTGGGCCCGTTGGACCATCGTCGGACCATTTTGGAAGCCTCTTGGAGGTCTTTCTGGAGCCTCTGGGGCGTCTCTGGGGGCACTTGGGAGCGCTCTTGGGTCGTCGTGAGGGGCGTACTGGGGCCATCTGGGGGATGTTGATGTTGGGGGTATTGGGACGTCTTGGCGCTATGTCGGATGGTTCGGGCCGTTTGGGCGCCCGCTTTGAGTCCTCTTCGGCAACCCTTGAGGCTTTCTTGGGCCATTTGGGAGATCTCCTGAGCCGTCGCAGGGGTTTCTAAGGCTGTCCTGGGGAGATGTTGGCGATCTCGGGCCGTCTTGGAGTTCCGATCTGGGATTTGTTGGGCGCTCCTGGTCCTCTTGGGGCTGTTCTGTGGACCACGGGGGGCTCTATGAGGCTGTCATGTGCTGCTCTTGGGCAATCTTCAGGCCCTCTGGGGCCGTCTCGGGGTACTTGGCGGGGCTTCCTGGACGGTCTCGGGGCGGCCATGGAGCCGTCTGGAGCCGTTCTTGGGCCGAAATGGAGAGAACATGGAATACGGTCAAAAACTTACAACAAACTCTATGATTCTGGCATCGGGTGACCGTCATCGGGGTCCAATTCGGCCGTTTTGGGAGGCACCCAGCCCGTCGTCGGGCCGTCTTGGGCTGTCATGGGGCTCCGTTCGGGTTCTCTTGGGCGGACCTCGCGCGCTTCGTTGCGTCTCAGAGCCATGCTAGGGCTGTCAGGGCCCGTCTTGGGGCCACCTAGGGGCTGTCCCCGTCGGAGAGCTCAGGGGCAGCTCGCGAACTGTTCGCCCCTTTCGCACGCGCAACGACCAGAATTGTAGTACAGGTGACGCTGGGCTCTAGTTTTGCCTCCACCATCCCCCTGAGAAGCGCCAGCGCTGGCTGCCACTTTTCACTTTTCTCACACGCGCTGACCACTGAGCTGTAGCTGATAACATCGGGCTCCAGATTGGCCTCCCATATCTCGGTGAGCAGAGCAACGGCCCGCTGCCATTCCTTGCTTTTTTCGCACGCACTGATCCCAGCGTTGTAGCTGATGACGTCGGGCTCCAGCTTCGCCTCCCGCATCTCGCTCAGCAGCGCCAGCGCACACTGCCACTGCTCGCCCTTCTCGCACGCGCTGATCCCAGCGCTGTAGCTGATGACGTTGGGCTCCACTTTCGCTTCCCACATCTCACCGAGTACTGACAGCGCGTGTTGCCATTGCCCGCCTTTTCTGCATGCGCTGACAGTCGCGATGTAATGGCTTGGGACGAGTTGGGCACCTGATCGAATTCCTTCGCGAAGCAACCGCAGTGCTGCGCTCCACTGTGTTGTCCGACCGCAATTCTTGATCGACGATTCGATGGAAATGACGCCTTCTCGAGACCCTCGAACGATGTCCATCATCCTAGAATAATCAATACATAAGGACACGGCCCCGCGGCTGGTCGCGTCCAAGAAGGCCTGGAGACACAGAGGAGAAGGTGGAGGAGGAGGAAAAGGAGGAGGAGGAGAAGGAGGAGGAGTGGGCGGGTGAGGGGAAGGAGGAAGAGAAGGAGGAGAAGGAGGAGGAAAAAGAGGCGGAAGAGCCGAATATGGTCTTGAGCCCAATCTGGTCTCGAAACAATGTCTTGCACCAAAATTGGCGTTTGGACTCTCCGCTTGCCGCCCCTCCTGCTGGCTCTCTCTATCCTGCATGCGCCCCCTCTCGCTGCCTCATTCGAGGAGGAGTAGGACGACGACGAGGAGGACGACGACTTCTCCTCCATCTCACCTTTGTTTCTCCTGGCCTCCGGTCTTGGCTGACTGCACTGTACTGTCACTCTGACAAGGGTGTCCGATCAGACACTCCCTCACCGCGTGAAACGGTCATGGCTAGCCTGTTGGCCAGACTCGAACCCGCATGAGTTCTACGACACGTCCTTCCCTGTCGACGTCGACGACGACGCGGCGCCGCTCTCCGAAGGTCCCTGGAGGCTCACAAACCAAAAGATCATCCAAATTGGCGCGCAGCGCCTCTGCGATGCGCGATTGCGCGGTCACCCTCGGGCCCTCGCGACGTCGCCCCAGAGAATGGGGCCCCGGTGAGGTGCCCTGGGGAGCGCCCGAGAGCATCCGACGAACTTCGACCCTCGCACCGAGGGCCTCCTCGGGCCTGGATCGACTCGAACTTCGACCCTCGAACATCGAACCTCGAGTCTGGATAGTGTTCTTTTACTCACTCCCGTAACGTCCGTCAAGGGTGGGGTCGGGGCCCCCGTGGGGTTCGAGCCCCTGGAGGACAACGACGACGATGGCGAGGACGAGGACAAAGACGAAAACCAGGACAAGGGCGGGGACGACGACAAGGATGATGACGACGACGACGACGGAGACGACGATGTCCGCCGCTGAAGATCTCCAGACGCTTCCACAAGCTTCGAACGTCTGTGGAGGCCTCTGGAAACGTCTGAGGCCCGTCGAGGCCCTCGGAAATGAGGATGGCGAGGAGGACGAGGACGAGAACTGGGAATAAGACGACGACGACGAGGAGGAGGAGGAGGAGGACGAGGAGGAGGACGAGGACGAGGACGAGGACGATCGACGACGACGACGACATCGACGACGACGATGACAAGGACGACGTTGACGCGATGACGGCGATAACGACGACGACGAGGGCATAGACGAGGACAAGGACGACGAAGACGACGAGGACGAGAGCGGCCACCTCTGAAGATCTACAAAGGGTTCCACAGGCTCCAGGTAGTCTCTGGAAGCCACTGGAGGCGTTTGGAGACCCTTCGAGGTCCGCGGAGACGACGACGACGACGACGACGACGATGAGTTTGACGACGACGATGACGACAACGACGACGATGGCCGCCACTGCAGGTCTCTGGAAATCTCAAAGAAGCCTTAGGATGTCTCTCGAGGCCTCACGGGGCGCCTGCAAGCCTTTCGAGACCCTCGGAATCGAACTGGGTTTCCGGGCCTCGAGGGAAACCAGTCCTCGACCCCGGGGCCTTCCCCAGGTCGTGTTTTTTTCAACCCGGGGGCTTGTCGAGGGCCCCCGGGAACCCGACTACATATGGATCGTTTCCCTCAGGACCCCTGAGCACCACGGCGACACTCGATCCTGCGTGGCCTTCGGGCCACAGCTCAGGCTCCTGGAGGCCGCTCGGGACGCTCTCGACGAGGCGCAGCTGCTGGACAGCACCCAGAACCCGAGAGACATCCTGACATCTCCGCGTCTCTGCAGCGGGGCTCGTCTCCAGACTGTCATCTCCGAGACTGCCATCCTGACATCTCCAAGAGCGGAACAAAACATTGCATTCGACGTGCGAGGACGCATGAAAGTGATGAACAAACACCCGGGCACGCCCGAAAACGTCAGCAGGCATCATAACACTTTATTGCACCGATCCAACACATCAAGAAACCGGTCGAACACGTCAAGAAACCCGTCGAACACGGCCGAGCACGTCAGGAAACCTGTCGAACACGGCCGAAAACGTCTTCGAACCGATCGAAAGCATGGGGCACAACGGGCGACAACGTCCTCGGTCTTCCTGGTGGCCTCACGAATTCGTGGGGCCAGCGTGGGCCTGGAGGGCCCGCCGGTCGGCCGCCAGCAGGTCCGGCATGCAGGTGCCAGCGTGCAAGTGCCGGCGGAGAGGCAGCCTGCCGGGGTGCCCAGGAGGAGGGGCCTCGATGAGGAGAGGTTGGGGAGGTTCCAACTTCCCGAGCTCCGACGATAAGGGGTTCCATTTTCTCGATGAGAGAGTTTCGGGAAGTGCCAACGTTTCGGGGTGCCCAAGATGAGGGGCCTCGCTTGAGAAGAGGTTCGACGAAGGACAGGAGTTGAATTCTGTCGAGCGGGAGCCCCGATGCAGCGAGGGCACCATCGAAGGCAGGCCGAGATCCTCGGCTGTCGATGGTGGCATGATGAGGGGCCTCGATGAGGTTCCCCAGTCCGTGCTTGCACAGAAGGGGCGGAACATGGAAAGTATGGCGAACGTTTCCCGCCCAATTTACTCGCCAGCTGGGTTCCCGGGTTCCCTGTACCAGATTCCCGGGATCCTGGTTTTTGGTTCCGCTTCGATCGGCAGGTAGCTGTAAGTGCGATAAGACCATTCATCCTAGACGATCTGAGTTTCGGCATTGAAGATACATGTGCTGATCGCATTCGCCATGCGCTCATATGAACCCACTTGTCGTACACATAGGTATATATGGAGATAAGTTACTATGCTAGATACCTGTGTTAAGTCGATATGACACGTTTTGCGTTCATGTTTGGTTTCCTGCCCCCCCCACACAAATATTCGAATGTTGATGGAGCGGCTAGGAATTATTCCGGGCTTGTGTTGAAAGTTGATCACTTTTGCAAAACTTAGGCGTCGCAGGTCCATCCCGCCCGAATTCGCGGCGGCGCTGCGGCCGCGCCCTTATGCCCTCGGGGAGGAAAAAAGGGGAGGGAAGGGGGAGGAGGATAATTACTACCCCTGTGTCTTCTGTCCTTCGCTACTCGCTACTCCTACCCCCTTTTTCCCTTCGGCGGCAAACTGCCTTCCCCTGCCTTCGGCGGCGAACCGCCTGCCCCCTCCTTCGGCGGCGAAGCGCCTCCCCCCCCCCTCCTGGCGGCAAGCCGCCTCCTCCCCCCGCATGGCGGCAAACCGGCTCCCCCTCCCTCCTGGCGGCAAGCCGCTTCCGCATTCTGGCAGCGCGCTGCCCCCGTCGGCGGCAAACCGCCTTCGCCCTCGCCCCACCCCGTCACGGCGGCAAACCGCCTTTTCCATCCTGCGGCAGCGGCCTTCCTCAAACCTCTGCCGCCCGCGATCGTCGCGGGGGTGGTCGCGAAGTGGTCGGGCGAGGGGATGGAATGAGGAATAGGATAAGCAAGGAAGATGGATGGAGATCGGACGAGGAGAGCGGAACGAGGATGAATTTGAGGAAGGAGCGAGAGAGAGAGAGAGAGAGAAAAGAGAGAGAGAGAGAGCGGGAAGAGGAAGAAAGGGGAGGAGGGGGCGCTGGAGGAGGAGGACCAGAAGCGGGCGGCATCGTGGCGAAGCGCCTTGCTGCGTGTCTCCAGGCAGCGAGGTCCCAGCCATGGACGCAGCTCCAGGGCGCCCAGTTCGCAGCGTCAGCTGGCGGCGCGGGGCGGGGGCCGTCTGAGTTGCGAGAAATATTGGATGCCCTGGCGTCGGGCGGGCTCTAGGGCAGGAAACTCCAGAACTACGAAGGGGTTCATTGAATTTCTGACGCCTCATTTGTGGGAATTCGCGCTCTCGCCGCATTCGGGTTTCACTGCCGCGATGGCGGCGTTTCCAGAACACCTCGCGGCGCTTGGCATAAGGCACCCGAGCTGCCCGACGCGTGGCAACATTGGTGAATTCATGTAGCTGGCGTGCAAGAGCGGCCGCGTGGAGGCGGGCGAGGTCGCGAGATAGTTGTTGCAGTGCTACCTGGCCAACATGAAATCTTCGTGGAATTATCTCGCGGCGTCGACGCCGCCGCCTAGAGATCCGATCCAAACGTTGCACGTCACGCCTTGGAGGCTGCGTGCCCAGTGCACCACCGCGTACGTCGAGGCCTTCCCGCCAGGTGTTGGAGCGACGGCGCCGCATAAATTCCGTCGAACCGGTGACAGTTGCAAGGCTGATCCATCTCCGCTCAGGGAGGAAGGGCGGCCAGTTCGCGCTGCCCGCGTATGCGCCAGCCAACGGCGGACTGCAGCCGCGCGGCCAAGGTGGCGGCTCGCCCCGGCAGCCCTTCCCACCGCGGCGGCCGCCTCGTTCGCTTGTCGCTCGCCGACGGCCCCGCTAGGAACTGAACTCCTCACCATCGTGACACTTGGTATGGGGGCGAGGGGCGCGCGCTTGGATCAAGAGGAGGGTGATGGGGTGTGGTGGGGGCAGGGTGTGGGGGTGGCGGTGGCGGTGGCGGGGGTTCTGGATGCTTCTGCGCGCCTCAGTCGGAAAGAGGGGGGGGTCGAGCGGCGGCGACCCGCCTGTTTAAGGCGGGGCTTCCACGCAGCGGCGGCCGCCGGCCCAATCCGTCCAGCCTGGCGCTCGCCGGCTCGCAGGCACGGCAGCCGCAGCAACCGCTGCAGCCGCGACAAGTGCAATCGGGTTCGCACCAGGATCGACCCTCGACGCAGCAACCATAGACACACACGCAGAAACCAGCAACAAAAACAAAGCATTAAGCAAGACAAAAACAGAGCAGGCACAGCACAGGCACGGACCAGAACAACACCAGCAGGCACAATGCAGCAAAAAACACAAACAGCCAACATATCACACAAAAGCACAACACAACAGCACGCAGCAAGCAAGACAGAAGCAAGCAGAAAGCAAAGCACAACCGCAAGCAGCACAAACAAACAAACAAATAGCACTATGGAGAAACCAAACAAAAGCGGCATTCACTAAAAAACAAAAAGCACCACGACAGCCAAGACAGAACAAACAACACAAGCACACAGGCAACACAATACAAGCAGCAAATAAATCAAAGTACAGCACGCAGCAAACAAAGCAAGTACACAACAAGGCAAACAGAGGCACAGCAACCCAACAACAGCAACCAGGCAAAAAGCAGGCACAGCCAGCAAAGAAAACACAGGCAGCAAAAGCAACGTGCACCAGCACAAGCTGGTGCCCTCTCGCGGGAGCAAGCCCGCCGTCAATTCACCGCAGTAAGACACCGGCGCCGTCCGGGGGGCCTCGATCGGCAGCACTCGCGCAGCTGATGGCGGCCGCAAGCCGAACAAGAAGCAGGGGCGGGTTGACGTCGCCTACAAAGGCCGCGAAGGTCGGCATCGCCGTAGTCCCGAGGAAAAAGACCACCACGGAGGCCGCTCAGGTCCTGCTCGCGGCCGTCGACAAGAGGGCGACGGAGACCAAGGCGAAACAAAAAAAACTGCCGAGAAGAAGGGGGTCGCGGAGGCTCAGGCCGCCAAGGGCACTCCCACGGACAAGAAGGTTGAGGAGACGGTGGCATCCCCACCGCAGAGCGACAAGGCGGGAGCAGCGGGCGTGAGCGCGAAGGACAAGCAAGGCGCGCATGCGTGCCACGGCGGCGCAGCCGGTGGCTAGCGAAGACCAGATCCCGCGTAAGTGGAAGAATCCGACCTGGGATATGCAGACCACGCGCAGCTTGGCGAGCGGGATTAAACCTCCCACCGACGTGGTGTCTGACGCGCACTGCGAATTCCAGCAGGTGCGATCGTTGCCTGGCAATCGCCGCGTGCCAGCCGCCTTTCGGGCGCCGTCCGTCGCTGCTCGGCCCCCCCTCCCCCCTCAGGCGCAGGTCCGCAACGGCAGGGCCGGCGTGAAGGGCAGCGTCGGCCTGAAGTACGACAGAGACGACGAGGCTGAAAGACCCGATTCTCATCGACGACCTCCTCGGCGCTCTCCTCCGCGCTCTCATCGACACCCCCCTTGACGCTCTCCTTCGCCCCTGTCTCGACGCGCCCATGCGGCCCTCTCTGTTTCTCTCTCTCTCTCTCTCTCTTTCTCTCTTTTTTTTTCGCTCGTTGCACCCGCGCGCCCCGAAGTCAGGGTCATGGCGGAGGCGAAGAGTCCGGTCAAGAAAGAGCTCGCCGCCAGGGGGCGCGGCGAGTAACTCGCGCCACGAAGCTTGCGCTCTCCAGGCCGAAAGGGCGGCCCCGTGAGAATCCAGGCCAACGGGACAGCCTCGGGAGAAGAAAAAATCGACTCGCCCGCTGCCAGGGATGTCATGAAATAAGAGGCGCCGTGAATTCTGGGGAAATATCATGGCCCACGCCATGATTTCCTCCCACACCTAGTCATCACCCCCCTCTCTGCCGCCCCCGAGATAGGGAGGGGGGCAGGTTTGCCGCCGAGGAGAGAAGGCGGGTCTACCGCCGAGGAGGGAAGCGGGTTTGCCGCCGAGGAGGGATGGCGGGTTTTCCGCCGAAGGAGAAAGGCGGGCGAGGAGAGGAGGGCAAAGGGGGGGGGCGGTGATGGCCGCCAAATGCGAGGAGAAGGGTGGAAAGGGAGAAAACAGTGGAAGGGGAGGTGGGGGAGGGATGGCGAGGAATGAGCAGCCTGCTTCCCCCCTGCGCAGGCGTCCGCGCTGAGGGCGGCTCCGCGCGCGTGGGCATGCGACGCCTTGTCCTGGAAAGTTTGATTGGTGTTGTTTTGTTGTCGTTGGTTGAGAAATCCACAGAATGCGAAGCACTGCAACACTAAAAAAATAAAGACGCTTCCAAATGTCATTGATTCCAATACCGACAGCGCAAAGCGGCTACACTGAGTTAGCTACTAAGTGAGATACGCTGAGTTGTATGAGTCGCTTAATCATGGAAAGGGTACCATATCACTCGTTTAATCGGATCAGAAATTCTGTGTGTAGGATTATGGTATGTCTTTGAACACACATATCCCACGCAACCTTATGTAGATGAAACCTAAACCTGCTATCTGAATAATGAACCTACATACATCTCCGTTGAAACGACTTCATCTGACATATAACACTCGCATCGCACTTACAATCACCCGACGATCTAAGCGGGCCGATTTCGGTGGGCTATGGGTTCTTGGGTTCCGGGGTCCTGGTCGATCTCCTCATCGATCTCTTTATCGATCCCTTTTCAAACCATCCATTGATTGGCGTTTTTTCTCTGGTGTAATGCGAACTCCCCGATCTCCGACGATATGTGTGTGTGTTGTCTTCAATCTCTGCGTTGTTCCTCGGGCTCGGCCCCTGGCGCCCGACGTCGGGCCCTGGGGCCCTCAACAAACTGGAATCGGGGCGGGGCCTCGGCGCCAGAGGTTGACAATAAATAACACCAGAGAACAACCCCAATCAAACCATGGTTTGAAAACTTTGGCAGGTACCGAAATCGGCCCGGAACCAATAACCAAGAACCCCGGAACCTGGAACAGGGAATCCGGAAACTCAGCCGGCTCAAGGACGCAAACAAAAACGCCTTGCTTGGCCCGCGCGCTTCAGCGTTGCCACCCAGATGCGCGACGGTGCGCCCACTGCGGCGGCAAGAATGCGCCAGGGCGCCCTTCCTGACCCGCATCCTGAGCGACGCCCCTCACATGCAAGATGCGGTTCAGATTGCCACGCGAAAGTGAGGACGACAAAGACGGACCCGGAGATGGCCGAGGGTATCCAGCCCATCCAACATCCGTGGGGCTCGGCCCACAGGGGCGTCGCACCGCGCAACCGAAGGATGCAACCCACCCGCGGACGGTGATCTACGAAGTTCGAGAATGGGATTCGGGGTTAGAGGGGAGAGGTCGGGGAGGACGACGTTCGATGCTCGATGAGGCGGCTCCTGGCTCAAAGGTGGATTTTCGGGGAGGGTGGAATGCGACGTCCGATCCAGGGTCCGGGGTGTGGGCTTTCGAGTAAGATGACATTCGAAGCTTGAACATGTGGTCGGTGGCCGAGGGTGGGTACGTTCGGGGGTAGTGAGTGAAGGTCGACAAGGAACGGTCGGGGTTCGAGGAGGTGGTTTTCTGGATCGGTGATATGCGAGGTTCGAGCGGGAGTTGAAAGTTTCGTCGGCAGGGGGTGATCTGTAAAAATGTGTATGTATGAGGATATACGCGTATACATTTTTAAATAACAAGGAAAATAACAGATATGGCGCCTCGCGAGCAGGCGAGAGGCGGAGGGCCTCAGGGCCGAAAGAGTGCCCCGCGCGCCAAGCGGTTGAACACCGCTCCTGCCTCGGGGCGGGCCGCAATCGAAGGCGGCGGTTCGAGGAGGGGGAGGCTGCAGTTGGAGGCTCGACAAAGACCGCGGGGGGGGGCAAGCCAGGAAGGGTGGGGGGCTCAGAGTGAGGCAAATGCAAGACGAGCAAAACATTTTTCGAATTCTGAGAACCATCTACAGGGGACCGTAAAGACCCTCTCGGCAAAGATGATCACAAGCCCGGTCGGACATGATACTCCCTTGGACGGCGCTCTCGCGACCCCGGCTTGGGCAACTGCGCGCGGCCAATGCCGAGGCGGCCGCTCGTGGGGAAATCAAAAAGTACCGATACCGCTACTCCCCAGACCTCTCCCATGGTGCGCTCTGACTAGAATTTCGGGGCGAATCGATCGCTGGCGACGAGGACTTCCTTGGAGGCCCAACAAGGGGAAAACGGGCGAAGGGTAGAGATATGGGTACTGTTTCCTCCTCTGAGCTCGCAGATCGAGCGCATGCCTGCCGTGGTGGTCGTCGCTCGCAGCCTCGTCCGCTTGCAGGCGGCCGCCCCGCGGAATGCGGCGCGCCTGTCGCCGACGCGGAGGCTCGCAGGCCTGCCGGTGCAGCAACAAGAAGGCCTCGGCTACGGGGTGAGCATCGGGCGGGTGCCTATGGGGGGTGAACCAAATGGCTGGTGAAGAAAAGACCCCAGGAGGGCCATTTTGGGCCCCTTTTGGAGCCAATTGGTGTCCAATAGGGGCCCCAAAGGGCCCCTTCCGGGCCCTTGTCTTCACCCTCTCGTTCGGGTCACCCCCCATTGACTCCCGCCCGAGTGCACCGCGCGAGACTTGGAATCTGGGGTTGGGGCCCAGGGGCCCTGTGCCTGAGACGTCCTGAGGGCATCCGTTGGCACGCCTGAAATGGCGGACAACGTGGTCGCGCTGCAAAACAGCCAGCGATGCCCAGAGTCACCGGCAGCCGCTCTCGGGCAGGCGACGGCTTGCCCCAGAGATACTGCAACGCGAGTGGGGACATGGACACAGGGACAATTCAACAAAAAGACGACACCGTCGTCGAGGTCGTCGTCGTCGTCGTTGACGTTCGTCCCTCCTCGTTCGCCGTTCTTCGAAACCCCTCTGAAGGAACAGAGAGGCACCGATACCACTACTCCGCGGACCTCTCCCGGGGGGCGTTCTGACGAAGACTCTGGGGTGAATCTGGCCGTGGCGACCAAGGCACTCTGGACGAGCAGCGGCATCGGCATCTGCTCCACCTCGGATCCTCGTCGGTTGTTGTTCGTCGCCGTTCGTCGTCGTCCGTCGTTCTGATCCTCGCTCGTCGCTCGTCGTTCTGATCCTCGTCGGTCGTCGTTCGTCGTCGCTCGTCGTTCTGACCCTCGTCGCTCATTGTTTGCCGTGGTCACCCTTCGTCGGTCGGCCGGCCCGTCGTTTGGAGCCGGCGCCTCGGGCCCTTGCGGTAGGGCCTGTACTTGGCCTCGGAGCACCGGCTCGCCCCCTGCGGGGTGCTGCGCCAGGAAAGGCGCGCGGCGGCCGGCGGCGGCGGCGGCGGCGTCGTCGTCGACGTCGTCGTCGAATGCTCCTCCAGAGAATAGGTCCCCAAACAGTGCTGGCGCTCAGGGATTCAGAATCCTGGTCTTAGGAATTGGGCTGGTGTGCCGCCGCTCTGGCGGCTGCTCGTATGTTGTCGCTTCCGCTGCCCGGTCGCCGCCTCGTCGCCGCCCGTCGTCTGGGCCGGTGTGGCGGTCTGGCGGCTATGTTGTCGCCGTCGCCGCCCCGTCGCCGCCTCGTCAGGCCGTCGCTGTTGCAACGAATGGGTTACAGTCTGTATATAAACAGACAGTGAAACACACCATAAATTCCACAACATATATCAGACCACATATTGCATCACATCGATTGTTCAACATTGATGGTACGACATGCATTGCACAACTGTGATATATGTGTATATACGTGTATATTGATATACATCGGCCACATCGGTTGCACCACAAATGTTGCACCACATCGATTGCACCCTTACGTGTGTGTATATACGTGTATATTGATATACACGTTGCAAAACAAATCCGCCACCGTGCCCTCTGGCACGCAGAGGCGTGGTACAATGCCAAGTGCTGTCTGGCAGGGCTTCTGCAATTCCTAGGGGGGGCCCCTCTCCCGGCTGCACTTCCCCGCGCACACCGGCCATACTCCTGGAGGGTCCCTGGGCGGCCATGGCGCCTCCCTGGATCTCTCCAAGATGACAGCCTAAGAGGCCCCAAGATGGTCCAAGAAGGCCCCACGCCGCCGAACGATCGCTCGAAGACGCCCAGGATAGCCTCCAAATGGCGCAAGAGCTTCTGAGGCGCCCCAGGCGGTTCTCATGATGTCTCCAAGGAAAGCCCCCAAAGGCAAACATCATCCGTGCGTTTTCAAATATGGTTGCGTTCTCGCCTTTCCGGTTTTTCGACGCCCCAAGACGGCACAACAATCACCCAAGACCACCCCAAAACGACCCAAGAGGCTTCCAGAAGGGCCCCAACACCACCTATGAGCGCCCCAGGACGGCCCAAAAGGCGCCAAAGACGGCTCACGAGGGCCCCAAGCGGCCCCCAGGAGGCCCCAAAAAGCGCCCAAGAGGCCCCAAGAGGCCCCCAAAGGGCCCCCAAGAAACCCCAAGAGTCCCTGATGAGGCCCCCAAGAGGCGCCAAAACGGTCCCCACGAGGCCTCAAAACTGCCTCCAGGAGGCCCCCGAGAGGCCTCCCACGAGATTTCACCGAACATCCACTAGACACATACTCCACAACCCAGGCACGGTGGCGAGACTTGCCGTCGGCACTTGGATCTTCCTCAATATACATTGCACAGCATGTGTTGTCTCTGTCTCTCTTTCTCTCTCTCTCTCTGTATCTCTCTTATTGTTCTCTATACCTCTCGTTTTCTCTCTCTCTCTCTCTATTTCTCCCTCTCTCTCTCTTTTTATTTTCTGTTCTCTCTATCTATATTTTTGTATGCCTCTCTCTCTCTCTCTTTCTCTCTCCCTCTCTTTGTCACTATCAATATATTTCTCTCTCTCTCTCTCTCTCCCTGTTATATATATACGAAGGTTATATCCCCTCCCCCGGGACTTATCGACCCCCCAGGGACTTATGGGAAAAATGATTCTGACCCAACGACCATCCGACCTGCGTCGTCGCGCGCGCATGCTTCGCTTCCGGAATGATGTCAAAACCGGGCGTCCAAAAAAATGGAATATAGCAAAGAAAACGAGGGCCTCGGAACACGGATTGTTTACAAAAGCGTGTGCGCGCGCTGTTGCGAACTCTTCAGAAAACCGCGACGTGTTCTCGATGTTCACAACATTATACTAGAACGGGCTTCGCGCGCGCATTTCCAAATTGTTCAAACGCCCTTGCGCGCATGCTGGGGCAACACGGTCCGTGTCAACAAATACCATGCGAACCTTTTTGTCAGCGTCTGCCGCGCGCGCCTATCGAATTCCTTCCAAAGCCTTCACCACCGACGCAGAGACGCCGTCATCGTCGTCAGCGTGATAAGCATCGGCGCCGTCACTGGCTGCCCCGTCGTCGCTGTCAGCATCGTCGCCAGCATCGCTGCTATCATCATCGTGTCTACCGTTGTCGACGTTGCCATCATGCCGCGCCCGCCCAAGTCGCCGACTGGCACTGAGGAGCCCGCTGGGATGTGCCGAGCGGTCACCGCCACCGCGTTCGCGTCGGTCGCCCCAAACTAGCTGCCCGCTGCGCACGCGAGCATACGCGGGCTAGCGCGGCCGCTAAGATGCACCAGCCAACACCCACCACTCATCGCAATCGTCCCCGCACGGTTTTGCAAACCAAGTTGCACTTTGGGTGGGTGGGATGATTGCGCGAGCATTCGAACTGACAGCTACAAGTTCGTCAAGTGAGTTGCACCACGTAGATTCTCCTATCTAAAAATACAAAAGACTCTGACCCCCCGGCGTTATCCCCCTTTTTGGGTATGTAAACCATATATGATCATGACGACATGTACATCCTAAATATGAATTTGCACTATCCCAGGGGGGCCGGTATCGCTCCCCCTGAGGTTCCCTTGTAAAAAGCCATACGCGGGGACATGTTTTGCTGCACCGTAAGACTTGTTCACGAATCCCTTGCAACAAATGGGACGAAGTGCACACGCGCGCGTCGTCGCGCGCGCATGCCGAAATCCTTCAAAAACCTTCGCTGTTGGAAAGATGTCGTCATCGAGCTTCCCAAAAACATACAAAAACACAAGGTTCCGCAACACTGATTTGCACAATAAAACTTACGCGCGAGCTCTTGCGACATCCTCAGAAAACCATATGTATCCCCGGTCTGTTTCACAACATGCTACCAGACGGGCTTCGCGCGCGCATGTCGAAATCTGTCGAACGCCCTTGCGCGTGTGCCGTCGCGAGAATCCTCTGCAAAAACATGACGAAGTGCAGACGCGCGCGTCGCCGCGCGCGTATGCCGAAATCCTTCAACACCCATCGGCTTCGGAAGCACTTCAACATCGTGTCCAAAGAACCTAAAAAAACATGGTTTCGCAACACGTATGTTCAACAAAAGCGTGCGCGCGCGCTCTTGCGTCGTCGTCGTCGTCGCCGTCCTCCGTCCTCCCGCGTCGTCGTCGTCGGCGTCGCCTACGTCGACCTCTGTCTTTCCTCGTGTTCGTGGTCGTGGTTTCTTTGGCGTCGTGATCGTTTCCATCGTCGTTGTCGCCGTGGTCGTCCTTCCTCCTCCTCCCTCGTCGTCGTCCGTCGTCGGCGTCTCGTCGTCATCCCTCCAATTTCGTCGCAGTCGTCGTCGTCGTCGTTGTCGTCGTCGTCGTCGTCTTCCCCCTCCCTCGTCGTTGTCGTCGTCGGCGTCGCCGTCCTTCCTCCTTCTTCGTCGTTCGCGTCGTCGCCGTCCTCCCTCCTCCCTCGTCGTTGTCGTCGTTGTCGTCGTTGTCGCCGTCGTCGTCCTCCCTCCTCCCGCGTCGTCGTCTTCGTTGGCGACGTCGTCGCCGTCTTCGTCGTCGTCGTCGGCGTCGGCGTCGTGGTCGTCTTCGTCGTCGTCGACGTCGGCGTCGTCGTCGTCGCCGTCGTCGTCGTCGTCGTCGTCGTCGTCGGCGTCGTTGACGTCGTCGTCGGTGTCGTCGTTGTCGTCGTCGTCGTCGGAGGCGTCATCGTCGTCGTCGTTGTCATCGTCGTCGTCGTCGGCGTCTCGTCGTCATCCCTCCAATTTCGTCGCAGTCGTCGTCCTCGTCGGTGTCGTCGTCGTCGTCGTTGTCGGCGTCGTCGAAGTCGTTGGAGACGTCGTCGGTGTCGTCGTAGTCGTTGTCGGCGGCGTCGTCGTCGTCGCTGTCGTCGTCGGCGTCGCTGTCGTTGCCAAGTGCCAGTTGGTACCCACCGTCATGGTCTTAAGAGATTTTGCAAACCAAGTTGCGGGTGGGTGGGTGGGATGTTTGCGCGAGCAGTGGAGTGGACAACTCACTGCAAGCAGAAATTAAATGCACCACATAAACTGCACAACGTGCATTGCTAACGTATATGGAACCACAAATTGCACCACACAGATTGCATGGCGTACATTGCTACACCCACCTCTATGTATACATATATAAATATGTATGTATATGCATGTGTATATATACATATCTGTATACATGTATGCACATATTGCTCAACAACTATGTGTGTATATATACACGTGTAATAGACAAATCCGCCACCATGCCGCAGGGCACGGAGTGGACGTGTTCTCAGGTCCACTGCCTGACCCCTTGAACCTCAATGCTCGGCCCTCAAGGCTCTTAAGGAGCCTGGACCCCGAAATCACACATCTCTTTGGGCATGGCGCGCGCCCCCCGGGCTCCCCCGCGTGACTGTTTCGGGCCCGGGGAGGATCCAACAAGGGCCACAAGGGCCCCAAGAGGCCTCGAAGACTGTCCAAGAGGACCCCGAGTCGCCGAACGATCGCTCCAAGATGCTCGAGATGGCCCCCAGGCTGCCCAAGAGGCCTCCACAACGCCCCAAGAGCATCCAAGAGGCCTCCCACGAGGGCCCCAGGGGGCCGAGATCATTGATGTTCCTTGGGTGTTTGATGGTTTTTGGCGTTCTCGCCTGTTCGGTCCCCCGACGCTCGCAGACAGCCCTAGAGGCCCCAAAGATCGCCCCAAAAGGCCTCCACGAGAGACACAAACGGCACAAGAGGGCCCCAAAACGGCCCAAGAGGCGCCCAGGACGGCCCAAGAAGCCCCAAATATGCTCTACGAGGGGGCACAGATGGAGGGCCCGAACGGGACATTCGAGCTTTTGGCCCCGAGAGGCTCCCAGGAGGCCCCAAGAGGCCCCCACCCCCAAGAGGCCCCAAGAGGCCCCCAAGAGGCACCCAAAGGCCCCCCAAATGCCCGCCTCCAAGAGGCTACCAGGAGGACCGGCAACTGTCCCTGAGAGGCCCCCGAGAGCGCTCCGAGGAGGCCCCAAGAAGCTTCCCTGCGAACTCGGACCCACCACCCAGGCACGGCGGAGAGATGGCCTTAAGGCCATTAGACATTGCACCACATGGATTACGCCACACCTAATGCACCACATAGTTGACGCCACATGTACCGCATAACAAAGGCGGCACCACATACACTGACTGCACCACACATATGCCACGACTGATACTGCACAGCATCGATCGCATCACCCATCTTGCACCACATGTATAGAAAAACCTGGATTGCATAACATAAGCATATCTATGTGCCGCGAAGGTTGCAACACATGTATTGCGAATGTGTACTTCACGACATATACAGCATCACGTACATGGTACCACATTGGTCGAACCACATGGGTTGCAACACAGAGGTTGCACCAAAAAGACTGCACCACAAATATTCCACAGCATGCATGGCTCAGCGTATATGGCACCAGCTATAGAGCATCACAGTGGTTGCCCCACCTAGATTGCACAACACATACGGCAAGAATCACACGGTGTGGGGTCCACGCTAACTTGCATCATTATTGCTGATCAATGGGAACTGTTCTGGGCGCGCTCGCCCTGTTGCCGCTCACTGCCGAACCGTTGCCGCCTCGTGCGCCCGTTGGGTCTGGCGAGGTTTCGCCGCGTGGCCGCCCGTGCCGCCTCGCTGCCGCCTTGTGCGCTGAGTGGCCCTGGCGAGGTCTCGCAACCTTGCAGACCTTTGCCGCCTCGTTGCCGCCTCGTGCGCTGGGTGGGTCCAACGAAGTTTCGCCACGTTGCGGCCCGTTGCGGCGTCGTTACTGCGTCTCGCTTGAATGATGTGTACTGCATCACGTAGCTCTACCACATAGCTTGTACAACTTACGAAGCCTCAACAGCCACAGTGACAAACCTTCTACTGTTTGGGGTCCGCGCTGGCAAACTTATTGAAGGTCAACTATGACGACAGTGGTTCCGCTCGATAGTTCCTCACGATATACTTCGAGAAATCCTGGCCAGAGGGGCCCCGAAACTGAAAAACGGCGCCCTGGCTCGACTTCCTCGCACTCCAAACAAGCTAGTGGAGGCCAACTACGACGACAGCGACTCCCACTCGATACGTCCTCGCAATGTACTCCGAGACGCCATGGCCAAAGAGTCCCCGCAACTCAGAAATGGCTCTCTCGTCCACATCTTCTCTCGTCCAGGCAAGACGCCTAGTACTTCCACGAGGGGACAAACACATTGACACCTCAAAACGGGTGTGGCACAAAGACTTCGAGGGTGTGTACACGGGAGTGGGATGCAGAATGAGGAGCTTCTCATTTCACGTGCTCGCAAAATAGTCGTCGTCGTTGCCGACGCCGACGACGCCGTCGTCGCGGTCGTCGTCAACGTGGTCAAGGTCGGCGTCGACAAAGTCTTCGTCGACGTTGTCGTCGTCGGCGTCGTCGTCTTCGGAGGGTCTGCGGACGCTGGACGCTGCCCAAGACGGCTGGGGCAAGACCGAAGGGGCCAGTCGGACATCGATGCTCGATACCTTCGATTGCTCATGACGCCCTCGATCCTCGGCGGCAGCAGCGCTGTCCTTCAGGCCATTGGAGCTCGCTTCTCGACTCTCGACCCTCAACAACCTCCATATCCTTGATACCCTCGACATCCCTAGTATCCTCGAGGTCCTCGTCGGTGGCGGCGCTGTCCTCCAGGTCCCCGCAGATCGCTCCTCGAATCTCGATGTCCTCGATATCCTGCATGTCCTCGACATCCCTGGACCGATCAACATCGAATCGGGAATCCCGAGCGAATCGGACCGAGCATCGGATCGGGCTGCATTAACTCGGAATCGGCATCGAATCGGCTGCACCAAGACATACACAACTACGCTGCGCCAAAATCCAACAACCTCGCATCGCCAGGAGACCGAACACAGATCGGATACAGCGTGGTAAGCTGGACGTCGAGTCGGAACGATCGAACCGAAGCGGGCCCTGTATCCTCGAATGTGCAGTCAACCCGTACCCTAAGGATGCACGATAAGGATGCAAGGGCCTTAGAAGGCCATGTTGACACTTTGCGAGCGGGGCGCGGTCAACGAAACCGACCGCGGACGCAGGTATCCTTGGGATGGTTGCCAAGGCTCATTGTGCGGCTTGACTGTACTCACCTGTTGTTGTTGCCCCGTGCCTTTCGGGACGTAGCGCGGCTCTCTGGGGCCGTTCGGGACGACTCGGGCACCCCCAGAACGCCCTCGGCGAGGCGCAGTTTCTGGAGAGCACCCCGAGGCAAGAAAACCGCGGGGAACGGACTAGAATGTCAGAAAACCTCGAGCCTCGAACCTCGAGCCTCGAACCTCGATCGGACCTCGAGCGAACCTCGAGCCTCGATGCAGGGCGGCCGGCGGCGCTGTCCTCCAGGTCCTTCGCGGCCTTGTCCGGCAAGGACAGGCCCAGCTCCGAGAAGAAGGAGTCCAGCACCTCTCGGGTGCTGCTAGAAGCGCCCCTGGCTCAGAGAGCCCCCCAGGATTGCAAAGGAGGCACCCTCGGCCTCCACAGCACCGCTCACGAAGCCCAAGGGGCCCCGAGAGCTCCCAAAGGGAGCGAACGGCTGGGGGCACGTTGGGCCAGGGGCACCTTTAGCAACCCCAATCCCCCTTCTCCTCTGACCCATCGTCACGACGAGGAGGTGGAAGGGTATAAAGAGGAGGAGGAGGAGGAGGAGGAGGAGGAGGAGGAGGAGGAGGACCTCCTCCAGCGGCGGCAGGTCGCCGTCGGCGAGGGCGCCATACGCCTCTCGCGGGCGCGAGATGGCGCGGGCGGCCGCGGCGTTCGGAGGGGGCCCAGTGGAGACAACGGCGGCCCTCCCTGGCGGTCCGCCCTCGGACCTCCGAGAAGCCTCTCATCGCCATGGCTGGATGCACTTTGGAAAACGAGTCAGCGTGGGCCCCAGCACGGGTCCAGGGACTGATTTAAAATGGATTTGGGCCGGGCGCGAGAGCCGCCGTTGTCTCAACTGGCCCTCCTCACAAAATTGGATACCAAACATCCTGTGCTTCGACTCGCTCGGTCGTCTCGGTCCCGTTCCCTGGGGCTGGATCTGTATCCCGAGCGGTTGTTTGGGGGGGCGGCCACGAGGGCCGACGCTGGGGGGCCAGAAATCCTCTGAACACCTTTTCCTCCTTCTCCTCCACCTCCAACTCTAAGTCCTCCTCCTCCTCCTCCTCCACTTCCTCCTCCTGCTCCTGCTCCTGCTCCTCCTCCTCACCATCACCATCACCATCACCATCACCATCACCATCATCATCACCATCATCATCATCATCATCATCATCATCATCACCATCATCATCATCATCATCATCACCATCACCATCACCATCACCATCACCATCACCATCACCATCATCATGCTCATCATGCTCATCATGCTCATCATCAGCATCATTGTCAGTGTCATCATCATCATCATCATCATCATCATCATCATCATCATCATCATCGTAATCAGCATCATCATCATGATCATCACCATTAGCATGATCATCAACACAATCAGCATCATCATCAACACCACCACCCTGTTCAACCATCATCATCATCATCATCATCCACATCAGCACAATCAACAACATCATCATCATCATCATCATCATCATCGCCATCAGCATCATCAGAAGCAGCATCAGTAGCATCACCATCATGGTCCTCATCGTCATTCGTGTCATAATCCTAATCATGAGCACTAACAGCAGCAACATCACCAGCAACATCATCATCGGCATCAGCAGCATCAGCACCAGCATCAACATCATTATTAGCATCACCACAACCATCATCAGCATACTCATCATCATCATCATCATCATTATCATCATCATCATCACCATCATCATCAGCATCGTCATCATCGTCATCGTCATGAGTATGACCATCATCATCACCACAATCATCATCATAACCACCATCATCATCATCATCATCGCCACCATCCTCCTCCTCCACATCATATTTAACATCATCGTCATCATCGCCATCAGCATCATCAGCAGTAGCATCATCATCGTAAGCAGCATCAGCAGCATCATTATCAGCATGAGACTTAGCATCTCCACAACTATCATCAGCAACATCATCAGCAGCAGTATAATCATCATCATCAGCAGTATCATCAACATCATCATCATCATCATCACCATCATCATTATGATCAGCAGTATCACCACAATGATCAGAAACACCATCATTATCAGCATCGTCATCATTAGGATCATCGTGTCAATCAACATCATCATCATCACCAACACCGTCACCATCACCATCATCAATAGCATCAGCATCACCATCATCATCACCAACATCATCATCCTCAACCTCATCCTCATCATCATTCTCGTCATCATCATCAACATCATCATCCGCATCCGCATTCCCATCCTCATCCAGGTCTTCATAATCATCATCACCATCCGCATCCGCATCCTGATCCTCCTCATCCTCCTCCTCATCATCACCATCCGCATCCGCATCATCCACATCCTCATCCTCCTCATCCTCATCATCATCACGATCGTCGTCATCATCATCATCATCATCCCCACCAACATCATCAGCATCATCATCATCGTCATCATCATCGGCATCCGCATCCTAATCCTCCTCCTCCTCCTGATCATCATGATTATGATCATCATTATCATCATCATCAAGATCATTATAAATTATAATCATCACCCGTTTCCTCCTCCCCCCTTCCCCTCCAGGGACGGGGGATGGGGACAAACCAGCCGCCTCGATCTTCTCCCGGCGCCAATGTGCGGGGGGGTGCGAGAAAAGCTGCCTTCGTCCCCGGGTCGTAGGCGCAGAAGGGCAACCGCTTCACGGATGCCGGCCCGAGCCCCCGCCCATGCACGAGTTCGTGGCCTCGGGCGGCTCAGCCGCCCCCCGTGAACCGACCCCCCCGCGCCCAATTCTCGCTGACGACGATGACGAACGAGAAGGGACGAGGATCGGCGTCGAGGACGACGAAGCCGGGGACAACGACGCCGAGGAGGACGATGGCCACGAAAACGCGGCGATGCTCGAAGGGGGGAGGGGGGCAGGAAGAGCAGGACGACGACGGAAAAGAGGAGATGAGGGGCAATGGGGGGGAGCACAGGGGGGAGGTAGAGAGGGGGAAGCAAAATTCAGGCCAGCGCCCACAAGTGACGTCGCAACCAGGAATAAGGAGTGCCAAATGGCGCAGTGCCCCGTCTGGCGGCAGGATGGTGTGGATGGGGAGGCGGAAGAACGCGTGGGAAAATGAGGGAGAAACGCGCGTACACAAAAACAAATACACACAGACACACGCGCACTTTTTGCGTCGGCGGCTGGGCAGGGTAGCTGCGCTGGCGGAGTGCTACCTAATCTTGCCAAGCAAAGCTCCCCCGAGAAGCCGCGACGATTTCAAAGTGGGAAAATGTCCAACATGCTGTTTACCTCAAGCTGGACCGCGGGGAATCATCCTGGAACGCCCGCGCGCCATCGAATGACCGCGCGCCGCCTGCCCTTGCCACTGATTCGCGCCAGGCGCGCCGCGGAGGCGTGACCAACGCGGCCCCCGAGCCAGGCCGCCGCCGCGTGACCGCCATGGAACTCATCGCCGCGATGACGTTTCATTCCGCGGTCGTTGGGCCTAGCGCCCGCGCGAATTTGGACGCGCGCAACCGTCGAAACGTGGGCGGAGAATCGGCGCGCGCGCAGCCGTCGAAACGCCGGGCACTGCCCGGGCTGCGCGGCCGATAACTTGCGCGGAGAAAAACACCCCCAAAGCTGATTGATGATGGAACGCGCCGGCGCGGGACCGACGGACCACAAGAAAGGGCTACTTTGGAGACCCCGCGCGAAGAAGAAACGCTCGAGCGCGAGCGCCGCGGGGAATTGGCGGGGCGCCAGAAACGACTGGATCTTATGCCCGCGGAAGTCGAGCAACTTCCGCTTCTGGGGAGTGGCGCTCGCGGGGCCCACCGCGGGTGAGGGGGCCGCTGGCGCAGACTCTGCCGCACTCGCGGCAAGACCCCAGCGCTCTCTCTTGGGGGCCGCGGCGCACGGATGCGCTGGTGGCGGAGAAGAGGGGCCTGACGGCAAACGTCGGTTTCGAAACCTCAGCGGCCGGCCGAGGACTCGGCGGCGCAATCGCGAATCCGCCGCGCGAGGCCGCGCAGCCCGCCGCGAGGGCATCCTCTCCAACCGAGCGGGGGTCTCCAGGGGAGCCCCTGGCCCCCTCCCCGACCCCCCCGCCGCCTTTATGCGGCGCCCTGCCCCCCCCCCCGTTCGGCCACGATTTAGGGCATTGTCTTGGCCCCGATTATGCAATTGTTGTTGGCCTCCCCTCCGCGGAGGCGCACTTTTTTGACCACAATTTTCTTACAATTAGATCAATAAGGAAAACAATCGCGTTCAAAATCGTGGGTAGTTTCGTGGGGCCTTGCAAGGAGGCGCGGAATCGTGGCCGAAAATCGCGGGCAAAATCGTGTTGCCGGAATCGTGGGCAAAATCGTGTCCGAAATCGCGGGCAAAATCGTGTTGCCGACATCGTGGGCGAAATCGCGGGCGCAGAATCGCGGGCCTGCCCGGTGCGCCAGCATGCCAAGCAGGCGTGCCCGCGCAACATCAGCGACGGAAAGGAACAATGAAAGAGGAGGGAGCGGCAGCAGCAGCAGCAGGAGGGCCAGCAGCAGCAGCAGCGGGAAGAAGAAATAATGGGAAGCAGCAGCACGAGAAGAGGAGAGCCGCCCGCCCGTTCGTCGCGCGCGTTCGTCGCGCGCCCCACAGCGCGCTGGACATGCTTCTCGGGGGAAACTCGCCGGGCCAGAGGCGCGCGGAGATCTCCGGCGACTGCCTCGAAGCAGTTCTACTTCGCGCGCGCTGGGCGGCCCAGAGGGGCCCCAGAGATGGTTTTTCTCTTGGGCAGGCGCCCCAATGCGATCCAAAAAGGCCCCAAGAGGCGCCCGAGACGGTCCAAGAGGGCTCCGAGTCGTCGAACGATCGGTCCCAGACACCCACGATGGCTTCCAGACGGCCCACGACGCGCACAAGACCCCCGAAGAGGCCACCGCGAGCTGAAACGATACCAGAAAACGCGATTCTGAACTGCACAGAAGACTTGTAGCAGAGAGACGAAGCGGAAACTGACGGGGGGCGAAACCGCTCGAATGACGCGTCGAACCGAGATTGCGCGCAATCCGCACGCCGAATGCCCAACATCGGAGCGGGTCGGCGAAGCAACAATTCCTCAACAAAGAAAAACCGAACTACTTGGAAATCCAATATTTTTCGCTTCGGGGAAACACACAATCGTTGCACCAATCCGCTTGGGGGATGCAGCTTCAAGACTAATCGGGGGTATCGTTGAAGCGAATTGTGCCACCACACAGACACACTGTTCGAGATTCGCGCGGATTTCTTGTATCGGCGCTGGAACTCCCTGGAACCACTTCCGGCGCCGTGGCAGGGAAAGGAAACCAGGCCCGATCCGTGAAATCAGCGCGGACCTCCGAAAAATTCTAGGTTTTTCTTATGCTTGTTCGGCCTCAGGGCCGCCGAGCAGCCCTCGCCCCCTCGGAGGACTCCCGCAGCCGCTCGAGGGTGCGCCGAGCAGGGGAGCCAGGGAGAGGGGAGGGGCGCACGAGGCATATGTAAGCGCGGACGATGGGGGGGCTGGGAGACGTGTTGAAGGCAGGGGGCATCGAATCTCGTGGCCACGGCCACGACATCCACACACCCCTGGGCCCCATGTAGTCACCCTCTTGGACGCCCCCGACCCTCTCCTGAGAGGACTCCTCCCGAGGCCAGGCGCTCACCTGGGTCCCTCCCATGGCGAGCCCCCATGTCGCGCCCCAGTTCCGAGCACGGCCGCGGGCTGCTTCGCCTCTTGCTCGGAATCTCCGTGAGAGTTGAAGCTCTTCTTTGAAAAGATAGTGCGGGTTATGTTGGCGGGTGGGTGTGCGGGTTCGTGCAGCAACATAGCACGCGCTAAATGTTGTTGTTATGTTGGACTGTGTAAAACGAGGTTTCATCGAAGCCTCGCAAAGTTCGACCAGGCGCCGTCACTGGGTCAAGCGTGGCCTCGGACCGAGGGGGAGGGGTTCAGCGATCCCCACTCTAGAGTCAGGAAGAAGTTTTGGCAACGGGCTGACTTGAGCTGCTTGAAAGCCGGACTTGCGGATCGTTGGAAGATTCGCCATGGAATTCAATAACGACGCGCGGCTTCGAGTTGAGTGTGCAGTGGGCACCCCTGGGGTTAGGAATCAGTGTTGACAGAGGAACGAGGCCAATTGCTTGTAAGCTGGATTCGCGGCTCGTTCGAGAATGTGCCTTGAGTCGTGAGGCTGGGGGATGGCATGGCCCTGAGCGTCTCAGAATTCAGGGGCGAAGCGCGGCGTAGGAAGGAGTTTGCAGCGGGCCACCGACGGATAGGAATGACTTTGGATGCTGATTCGCGGACTGAGGCTGTTGATTGCGGGCTGGATTCGCGGCCCGTCCTGGATCTTCCCTCGAAAGACTCGCAGAGAAGCTGGGCGGTGGCTTGGCTCTGGGCCCGCTGGAGGCCCGAGTTGTGGCCTGGGACCTGGAACCCAGGGCCTGCCCACGGGACCAATTCCTGATCCTGGAGTCGCTTTCTGACGGCGCTGGGGCCCCAGGAGACCAAAAACGGCGAACAGAACTCCAGCACCTGCTTCCCTCAGGGCCTCTCTGCTCTATTGCAGGCATCGGCCATCAGGCCTCAACTCGGGCCTCTGGCTGCCCGTTCGGCACGGTCCTGGCACCCACAGAAACCTCCACCGACGAGGCACAGCTGCTGGAAACCATCCCGGGGCCGAACATCTCCTGGAACCGGCGACAACCTAGTGCATCTCGCCCCGGGATGTGCGATTACCGATTAACGTCGCGCCCTCGCCCCCTCGCGCCGCCCCCTTGGAGGAAGGCAACCGCTCTGACCCAGACGGGCGACGCGCGAGTATCTTCGCCCCCCCGCGGGTGACCTAGGCCCGCTTGCTTCAAGACCCGTCTACTTAACGGCGGCTTGCTCTCTCGAGGGGCAAGGTTTGGGGGGGGACCAGCTCAGGGAGGGGAACATCGAACATGAATCAGCGGTACACTGCCGATGGATCGGCGACAGGCCCCCGGAGTCTTCGGGCCACAACTCTGCTCTCTGGCGGCCCTTCGGGACGATTCTGGCCCCCCTGGAGCGCTCTCACCGAGCCGCGGCTGATGGAAACCACCCTGGGCCTCGTCGTTCGGTCGTCGTCTTCAACCCCGATCTCTCGACGGCGGCGGCGGCGCCGCCGGCGGCGCCGATCCGCGCGCAAAGGCCCCGCTGGGCGCGCGGCGGACTTGCCGGCCGCCCACGGTCACCGTGCACAGGGGCTGCGGCTGCTGCAGCGGGGAGGTACGCGGCCGCTCGGACAGCAGGCTCCCCGCGCCCTGGGGGCACCATTTGCGTTGCTCGGTGTCTGCCCCGCCGGGGCGTGGGAGCAGGAAGTGCCCGTCGGTCGGCGGAACTGGGCAGAAGCATGAGACATGGAGGGCGTTGGGGGTAGGCTGGGCTTCCGCCGGGCACCCTGAAACAAAAGCATCAGGGGACGGCCGTTCGACTCCTAAAACAGGAGCGCGCCCAAATCTAGCAGTCCCATAAGTGAAGTCTTTACTCGAACGCTGGGCATGGGTGCAATGTCAAGCAAGAGACGCTGTCCGAATTGAGCAAACATAATAAACAAATGAACAAGATGATTTGACAAAGGAAGGAAGGTGAACAGCTCACACATTGAACAAGACAAGCTGTCAATGGACAATATACGTTCCCACTTGGACAGGAGACAGCAACTCCTGTTGAAATGGCGCGCCTCAGACAGCCTCAGGAGAGGCCCAAGACAACTACGAAGAACTCACACAGCGGCCCAACGGCCAGCCTCAATGCGTGGCAGACCCCAGGATGGCTTCGAGCGATTGATGAGCGTTGTGGCGATGAGCGGTGAGAAGCCTGGCGCATGCTAGCGTGGATTATGGATTCGCGGATCTGGCGCGTGGGCGCCAGATCCGCGGACAGGGGAAGGCACGACTAGAAACACGAGACCAATGCCAGCTGATTTGGCAACGGAGCGCGCCGAGTCTGTACGGGAACGGGACCCGTCGCTAATCCACGCGCCTGCCCCATGTAAACGCTCCCTGAAGGATGATGAGAAGGAGGACGACGACGTCGACGACGAGTATAACAACAAGCCCCCCCCAGACAGAGGCCTCCCAGATGGGGTCCAAGATGGAGTCGAAGGATCGCGCCGCATTGCCGATGCATCACCGATGCGTCGGCGACGTGGGCGATGCATCGGCGACGTCGGCGTGGAGAAAATCGGGCTCCGCATAAAGCCGCGTCGCCGATGGATCGGCAGTGCGGCGCAATCCTCCGACCCCATCAATTCGGACCCAATCTGGGAGGCCCACAGTTAACGCGCCCAGTGAAGAACAGGCCTTCATCTAGGGTGCCCCTCTGTCCTTGCCTCTGCGGCCCGTCCTTTGCCGTTTTCTCTGGTCGCCCGCCACCCTAAAAAATCCAAACTTCGGCCTCCCAAGGTCTTGCGTCCTCACCACCCGTCCTGAATACGTGCTTCGACTGTACACTGGAGGAGGAGCAAGACGACTCTTCCCATGGGGCCCCGAGGCCGCGCCGCGCTCCTGTCTCAGGGAGGGCAGGCTGGCAGAGCCCCGCAGCAAGCTCTC